GGAGCAAAAGGTGTGCGGGTTCCTTGGAGTGTCTGGGGGTCTCGATCCACCAGCACACAGGGGTAGACTCACCTCTGACAGACTGGGACTGCCACATTTCCCAGCAGCCTCGTTAGCTCTGCCTGTACTCTGGGCCTGTGAGCCTGTGTGAGCAGGCTCACACCACTGCTTGGCCAAAAGATCAGTGAATTACAAAAATAATAAGTGTGATGAGTGGGAGGTTGAGGGATTGTAGACACTGAGCTACCAGTCCATGCAGTAATCTCAGGGAACAGGGGCAGCTGTCAACTCCACCTTACAGCCGAGGAAATAATCTCAGAGAACCTGGGTAAGATCCTGGTCCTGTCAGCCAGGAGGTGCTGAGTTAGGAGTGTGACTTCAGAGCCCAGTCTTCCCTGGGAGGTGCTTGGCCCTGATGATCACGGATGGAGGACTTAAGCCAATGAGAGGGGCGAGAGAGGGAGGAATGCACACCGGAGCAGGCAAAGTGACATAAGAGATGAGGCAGGAACAAAAGATTCCAAAAAGCCTGGTGAACAGGACTTGAGGTACAGAGGGGGTATTTGGTATCAACAGGGGGTAAAGGGGTGAAGGAGTGCAGAGGGGTGAGGCGAGAGGGAGGGTTGTGAGAGGTGAGCCAGAGGGCTGGGGCTGCCAGGTGAGTGGGGGGGGGTGAGGCAAAGGGTGAGCAGGTGAATGGTGAAGGGGTGGGGTGAGGAGGGAGCAGAGGTGGAAATGGAGCTGTCAGGTCCGGTGCTGGGGGGGAGGGATGAGGAGGGAGGGGTAAGAAGGTCCCTGGAGGATGAGTAGGTGCAGGGCCTTGAGTGTGAAGGGTATGAAGTGCCTGAGGGGGGAAGTGAGAAAGGATAAAAAAGTGATGATCCTGTAGGTCGCTGCACAGCTGGAGAACCCGTGCAGGGGAGAGGAGAGGGAGAGGGATGTGGGTGGCGTGGAGAGGGGTAGACACGTCTGAGGGGTTTGGACAGTTTGGCTCTTGTCCCTACCCATGCCCCTAGCTCCTGTAGCCCCCACCAGACCTGGCCATATTGCCAGGCTCCATTTCAGGGATGGGTGGAAATTTCCATTTCAGCAAAATCCATTTGTAAAGCCCTAGAGCTTTGAGCCTCATTCTGCTCTGCCCGCCTGGCTCTGCCTGTCTGGCTCTGGCCTGCCCAGCTCCTCCCACTCTCTCAGCAGGCCTCCCTCAGCTCTCCCTTCGTAGCAGACAGAGCTTGGACTCAGGGGCTGCCTCCCTCAGACCCTCTTCTATGCCCACTACAATAGCCTACCAAGCTATCAGCATCCTGGGATCCTGGGATGTCCCAAGGGCTGCACTGCCTTACCCTCAGCTGGGAGACTACCAGCACACAGCTGTTGCTCACTGCTTAGGGTGGTTGGATGTTGGAGTAGAGCAGAAGGGGAAGCCCTCTTCAAAATAACCCTATTTGGACCTTTTCATTCAATAGAATGGGAAATAGAGGCAGAGAGAGGGAAAGTATATTCTTGTTCAGGGCTACATAACTGGTTGGCATGACCAGCCACAATGGCTTCATTGTTTAGAAGAGACAACAAAGAGTCATGCAAACAGGTTCAAATCCTAGCTCTGCAGCAGAGGTATGCTTTAGGGTAAGCTTCTGCTTCTCTGCACCTCATTTTGTTCATCTGCCAAGTAGGGCCATCGCCACTCTCCCAGGCTGGTGTGATAATAGTGACAACAGCCAGGTGCAGCCAAGGGGAAGTGAGTTAAAAGCCACTGGACTCTGTCAAGAGTGACATTATTCATAGATTTTGGCCATAGATGTGTTTGCTTCCCAAGAACCATGGAAACCGCAGCAGAGAACTGAGGCTCTGGGTGGAGGGACGAGCTGTGGTCACCTGGGGTAGAAAGTGAGGAGCGAGCTTAGGCCATCTCAGCCTTCGGGGCAAGGCCTTCCTCCAGCCCGAGAATGGCCACGCTGGCCTCTGAGTGGAGGGTTGGTTTTCTGGGTCCAAATCAAGACCCTGCACTGGGACAGGGAAGGTAAGGGCAGGGGCAGGCTTCTCACTTCTGCGAGTGAGCACAGGACCCAGCCTGGAAGGAACACTCCTCAGGTCCTGGCACAGGGACAGGGAAAGCGCCTGATTCAGGCTGTTTTCTGACCAAGTCTCACGTCCGAGACACACTGTGGTGCATGCCCTGGCACACACTAGAGCCAGCTTTAGCTCTAGCACATGCCCCAGCACATACTCCAGCTGCTGCCCTCCCTGCCTTCCCCCACAGGACTCTCAGGCCCCATCTGTTCCACTTCCCCGCATTTACCCTGAACATCTGGACTGCTCCTGAAATCTGGCTTCTGGTTCTGTCTAGAGGGAGCTGTTAGAGGGAAGAAGAGACTTCCAATTCCATTGGTTCTGAGCTAGGGTTAGGGAAGGCCCTGACTGACCTCTACCCCCAGCCTGCAACTTCCAGAATGCATAGGCTTAATAGTACCCTCGACCGTATCACCCACTCTCCCTCTTCTTGATCACCGCCTGACCTGTAGGTTTGTAACTATCTCTTGCTCTCATGTTTCCACAACATACCCTACAGGGCTTCTCCAGCATCTGTGCAAGGGCCAGGCTTTGTGCTGATCTGCTCTTGGGTTTAGCTTTGTACTCTACAGGAAAAGGGTCTGGGGCTTCCTGGCAAGGACTGTGTCCCAGAGCCACATATCCTTGTGGACAAGCTGCTTCCCCCATCCTCACTTCTTGGTGGCGGTGGAGGGTAGAAAAGACCAAAATTTTCTGGTCCAAGGCAGCAAAAATTCTTTTGGTACTGTGTTGGGGATCCAACCCAGGGCCTCATGTGACCGACAAGCACTCTACTACTGAACTATATCCTTAGCTCTGTCCCTAGCAAAAATTCTCAGGCCCCCATTCAGAGAAACTCAGTCTAGGAGGGCCAGGCTAGAAATGACCTTTACCCACACCTTGCCTTTTGCCACCACCTGCGCTCCATTTCCATCCCACCTGTTGCCTTATCCTGGACTGGCTGGCTATCCAAAGGTCCCCATTCTGGGATGCTCTCCATGGTGCTGAAACCTACGTCTTGGGCAGAATTGCTTCTTCCCGCAAACCTGAGAAGCGTACGACCTTGATAAGGAAGAAGACGACTGTGGACTGTGGACGGGAAGGAGTAGAGGTACACACAGGGAGACAGAGAAAAATATGAAAGGACAGAGAAAGGGAGCTATGTAAGACTGCCAGGAGAAAGAAAATGTGATTTTTGTTTTCTTTTTAATAACGATCATCTTTCTTCTGGGAGGGTCAAAGCCTCCTCCTGCTCTTTGTGCAAACGCCAGCTCCTGTTTGCTCCCACCTCTAGGTGTAGCACATTTTAGTTCTTTCTCTATGCTATTTCTAGCCCTTTCCAGACTTGGGGTCTCTATGTGTTGGGGACCACTGGAAGACCTGACCAGAAGCTGTGCGGTTGGCACCTCTTCTTTGAAAGCTGAGAAAAGTGATCCCTTTTCAGACTCCTCCTGGCCAACGCCCCATGAAGAGCGCCTTTGGGGTACAGGGAGCCTGTTCCATCACCCCCTGCCCCCAGTACCCTTCTGAGTCCGAAATGCCTGCCCTGCTAGGGGGAGGGAGCGATTTCACGGACCCCCACAGCCCCTGGGGCTGAGGCTGGAGGGAAGGTGCTAGGGAAATAGAAAAGAGTGGAAAGTGGTTTCCCACTCGGTTATGGCTGTTATTATTTATTTATTCATGTATTTTTTATTAAGGAGGATATGTCGGCCTAATGAGCGAGGAGTGCAGCAGGCTCTGAGGGGCGGAGCTAGGGGTAATGGGGCGCTACTGACCCTCCCAGGGCCCCTCTCCAGCTCTGAGACCCCCAAAGTCTTTCTTAGGCACCCCTCCCTCGCACTCCGCTTTGGGCTCAGTAGGTGATAGAGGCCCCGGGGCCCACTGAGCCTTCTCCAGGTCGGGCAGGCGGGGCGTCCCTCCCTCTGAAGCCTACTGTGTTCTGCACAGGCCCTGGTGAGAGCTGGAGCCACCCGAAGCGACTCGATTGCTCCTTGAGAGGCTCCTAGCCTGTTCTCCAACCTGCATTCCCCAGCCCCATGCCCACTCCTTGATGCTTCTTTATTCCACAGTCTGCTCCCAGCACTTCCCCCAAGGTGGGAGAACCCAGTCTGGGTCAGGAGGTCAGGACCAGACAATTCCAGGGTCAGCTTTCAGGCAAGAGTTGGCTTGCAACCCAGGCAAGCTCCAACACTTAAAAGCCCAGCTCTCAGCACAGGAGCTGCCTTGGACCTAGTCTAAATCACTGGGTTCCAGAAGTAGACACAGCTGCAACCTGGTCCCAATTCCGAGGTCTTATCTGGGAAACTAATCTCAGACCAAACCATAAACCAGCTCCTATGTAGTCTTATGCCTAGCCTGAATGGGAGGAATAGCCTCATCCCTTAGGCTAGGTCCAAAGTTAAACAGGTGAAACAGGCTAAACAGGTGAAAGTTTGGGAGGCCAAGGTCAAAGATAGTTGGGGGATTATGTTGGGGGAACATGACTGGTCCTTGCCTTTGGGACAGAAGCCAGCAGCCTTGCCTCACTGATACTGCCTCCTCCCTGATTATACCTTGTGAGGATATAATCCTCACACATGTGAAGGGGCTGTGCATGGGGGCTTGGCAGGCCACACCTAGTGAGCCCAAGGCCACAGTTCCCATTGTGCTTCCTTTGATGGCCAACAAAAACTGAACCAGGGAAACCGATTTAACCAGCAAACATCAGCAGAGCCCTGCTGTATGCTAGGACCTGGGGACACAGAGAGTGTCCACAGGAAGTCAGCTCTGCGTAACGGTGGCTGGGGGTGAAACGGCACAAATTCTTAGCGGCACCATGCTCTTCAGCGTGTGTTTATGCCAAGTCCTGGGCTTTGGTGTTATCTTGTTGCATCATTAAAGCCCTACAAGGTACACACTGTTACTGTTCCCATTTTGTTCATTAAGTAACATTTCATCATTATAGAAGCAATATATATTTTATTTACTAAATAACATTTCATGTATTACAGAAGCATTATGAAAAATTTAAAAATACAGAAACCAAAAATATATAAGTAAAAGCATTATTTTCTTACTACCTTAATACCTTAATGTGTATCGCCTGTTCTTTTTCTTACATATAAGTACCGTTTAACTAAAATGTGATCACATTATACGTACTACTTTATCTCTTGTTTTTTAGCCAACAACTTCTGCCTTTTCTATTGCAGCAAAAGTTCATCTCTTTTAATACACAGATTAATTTCCCCATCTCACTCCATCAAAAGTTGCTTACGGTTGGTTTTTCAGTACCAGTGTAAGGGTGGCATCTGATCATTACGTGCATCAGATTGTTTCATATGGTGCCTTCCTGCAGTTCTGGCCACTGACCCACTGGACCATCCTGGTCAGCTTCCTGTACACAGCCTTCCTCGCAGCCATCTAGTTAACTTTTCTTGCTCTTATTTACTTTGTGACACTGTGCAAGAGTTTCCGGTGAACTAGAAGTTTCATTTAGGGGCAAGAATGATTCAAATGAAAGTTTGTGGCTAGAACACATGTGAGGCGGTGTCCACTTCATGGTACAGTGCATGGAAAGACACACCCTGTCTAATTTGCTCACTCTTTGAAATGCCCAGATGGACTTCAGCTCACCAAGGGACTTTTTTTCACCACCTTCCTTCTAGGAAATGATGTTCGTGGTTACTCTGGTACCAAATAAACATTACGTAACACCGATCCATAATCTTTGCTTGATTGCTCTTATATTTAAGGGGAAGAAAAGACTCAGATTGGGGCAGGCTCACACAATCAGCAAATCAGGACTCCAGCTAGAAACTGCATTTTCTTCTTCTTTACCACCACACTGAGCAGGGAGCACACTAGGTGCCGGGCACACATTTAAATGTTTAAACGCTTGCTGGGGGAGCGAGGCTCTTCTTTTTGTGGATAAGACTGATCCAAGGCAGAAAAATTTCTTAGAGAGGCCCAATCTGCCTCCTGGCAACTTAGAGCTTATTAGGTGGCAGCCAGAGCTAAGTGTTTCACAAACACTGGCTTTTCTAACTTTCCCAACAAACCTGCAAGGTACGCAGTATTGTTACCTTCCTTTAGAGGCGGAGAAAGTGATGCTCAGGGGGGTTAAGTACTTGCCTAAACCCACACACTGGTGACCGGTGGAGCCAGGCTTACTTCATTCGGTTCCCACCCGCATTTTACCACTACTTCGACCTAGTTTCTAAACTGGCCTCCCTTCCAGTCCTAAGACTGAAGAGTAAAACTACTGAGTGTGGGTCGGGGTCTCTTTCTTGTATGGGCTGGTTCTGACACTCCCCAAAGCCCTGTGGCCCCCTATCAGCATCAACAGCAACATCAAAATGTTCCCCAGATCCCTTCTGTTAACCTCTACCTGCCCTGTGACTCTTTTCTATCTGTGAAGTTGCCAGAAACTGGCTTGGTTCCACCAGCTTTTGGACAGTTAATCTTCTCAAACTCCACGCCCACCCCCAGGGTTTAATGTCCCCATCAGAGCTCCTCACACTGGAGCACCAACCAACAGTTCATGACATGCCTCCCCTTTCTCACAATTGTGTACAGTGGGAGGCCTATAAGTACTCTCTGAAGGAATCAGGGATTATGGGATCCGTTTGGTAAGGTGTTAATAAGGGAGGATGCTGAGGTTCGGTAGAGAAGGTTCTGGGCCCCAGACCTGCCTCACGCTTGCCCCACATGCGATGCAGCTCTCTGAGTGAGGCTGGTGCTAGAGAGGTGATTTGCTGCTATTTGGAATATAAGGCTTGTTCCCAAGCGGGGCCTGTGATCACAGCTGGTCTGGGCCTGGAGTGTGGCTTTGGGGTCAGTCTTGTATTCTCCAGCCCTGTCAGAGAGCAGGTCTCAGAAATGTCACTGGCACTGAGAGCATCCTGAAAAATGTCAAGAAATACTGATTTGGGTCCCTTGGCAGAGGGTGGAGCCAGGGTTTCTTTGCAGAGCCTCCTGCTACCATTTCCCTGTTCCAACTGCAGAAGGAAGAGAAGCCAAGGTGCCCTGAGAGCCTTCCTTGTCTGACTGCAGATTTCATAGATGAGGAACTAGACCCAGAGCAAGATGGCCATTTTTTCTCTGGAAGCATCAGTGGGCCTCCACCCACTCACCTGCCCTATTCCTCACTCCCTACCAGCTCTTATGTTCTTCCAGGTCCTGGAACCCCAGACCTTTTGAGTCAACACCCTGATTCTCAGCAGCCATAGGTGCAGAGGCAGGGCCTGAGGATGCAGCTCAGGGTGCAGGCTCAGCATTGGCAGCCGCAGTAAGGAGACAGCACAAGTCAACTTCCACGCTCCCCGTCAGTCCTGCCAGGGCTCCCTCATTCATGCTCACCTCTGCTAGGTGCAAAGCAGCCTGACTCCCCGTGTGAGACGGTCTAGCCAAGACCCCAGGGAGCCTGGAGCTCTGTTTCCAGCTACACAGTTCTCACCTTCCTCCTTCCTGGCCCTCCACTGCAGTGTGCAGTGATTTTTCAGAGCTTGGTTTGTGCTTTTTCTGTGTAAGTGGGGCCTGAGCGAGTCCTATCTCTCTCTTTCATGCCGGTATCACAGATAAACAATAAATCATCATTGAACAAAAATGTCTTATGTCCTAGATCAGGCCAGGCTGCCCTTGACAGTCTGCACTGTGACCATAAGTGCTGTAAGGGTGATCTTCCCACAAACCGGAAGCTTCCTGAGGGCAAGGACTGTGTCACTGATTCACCTCTGCATTCTTAGACTAATGCAGCATCTGGCTATTGCAGGTACTTAAAAAATCTTCGTTGTATGTGAATGATTGAATGATTGTGTATGCAAATAAATGATCTAGACAGGCAAGGATTTTTTTTTATCCTAGTATGAGATTTAGAAAGAATGGGAACCTAGGAAAGACCTGCAATGTGTTGAGTAGTCATGGTTTTCTGCATGAAAGCTGGCCCAGGGAGCTCAGAGCTCCTGACCAGAGCATAGTCCATAGAGGTGCAAGCCTGGATGGGGATGCCTCAGAGCTAAGGCTGGAGCAGATAGATCTCTGTCCAGGAGGAAAGATTTTCCTGGAATTATTTTGCCTCCAGGTAGAGAAGCAGGGAAGCCTAATTAGTTTTTTCAGCTCTTGGAGCAGGGTCCATAAATCATGGCTCCACTGAAGACAGGGTACTTCCTCTCTAGAGACCCAGGTAAGAGTTGATACAAATTCCCAAGTGGTGTGAAGAGGCTTACAGCCTTTGTATGCAGGTGGCTGTACCAACCCTGCCCAGAAGAGAAGGCACCAGTGGATCAGGTCTGCCTTCAGTGCTCAAGGTGTACAGGGCCCCAAGGGAGAACAGGGAAGAAATGGCAATGGAATAGGGTCCAGCGAAGGGGAGAAGAAAGCAGTAAAGGCCCAAATAGCCTTCTTTTGGTAAGTTCAATGCCACTCACCATTTATGGAATGTCTACCTTGTGCCAGATGCTGTGCTGGGCACTGGGGACTCCAGGATGGCTGAGATGCAGCAGGCAGGGGGGCGGGCGGAGCTATAGAGACAATAATCACAAGGCGGGTGATAAGTACTTGCAAATAATGTACAAAGTGTTCTGGGAGCTCTGAGCAGCAGGCCATTCATTCCTCCCCTGGTGAAGAAGAAGTTTGGAGGATTTCACCAAGTAGGTGGAGCTCAGCTGGGTTTGCTGGGTAGGATTGGAGAGAAGTGGCCCTGTGCCGGGGTAGAGCGATGAAGGAGGAACCAGGAAACTTCTGGGTGGCTGCAGCAGACGGGGACGCAGGAGGATCTCTGGGCAGGGGGGAGACTTAAGCCAGACTCTGAAAGGCCATGAATGGTCCTACTAGAGAGTTTGGACTTGATCCAGTCGTGGGCAAAGGGGAGCCATTGAAGAATTTTAAGCAGGAGTGTGACAGGACCAGATTTGCATTTTAGAAAGCCTTCTCCAGGGGGCAGATTGAATGAGCTAGGACTGTGGCCAAGGAGCAGAAGGAAGGGAATGGGTTCTAGGGACATTTCAGAGGGGAAGTGGACAGAGCTTTTCCTTTCAGGTCATTCTCTTGGACCTATTTCCTATGCAGGCTCTGAGGTCCCTGGGGAGGAGGGCTGGCCCTTTTCTCTGTGTCTAGTGCAGACTTCTGCGTTCACAGAACTGGACCTACAGGGGCTGCTTGGCACACACAGAGCAGCCAAGGTGATCAGTGCTAGGGAGCCACACTCTGGGGGGGATGAACCCGTGACTACTCTCAAGTCAGTACACAAGCCCCAGAGCAGAGTGAGGCTTAGCTCAGAGCTCTGAGGACGACCCCAAAGGGTCCTTCCTCCCTCATCCCCCCTTCTTCCTCCTCCGCCTCCTCTCCAGAGCCCAAGCTTTCTTGCTGGGAGCTCTCAGAGCCAACAGAGCTGTGGATGAAATGGTTGGATGGCTCCAGCCCAGCTGCTGCCATGGCAACCAGGCTGCCTGCCAGATCCACAGTCAGGAGCAGGCCCAGGTTTCCAGCTCCAGAACTACAATTCCCAGCATGCAAAGCACCTGTGATAAGAAAAAGCCACCCCCTAGGAGGGCCAGCCAGTGCCTTCCAGCCTTGAAAACACATGTAGGCATCCCCAAGGACACAGCACAGAATACAGGCACAGAGACTGGGTAAAAGCAGGGGCACTTCGGGAGGAAGCCTGGGAACACCTCCTTACGGTGGGCCCATGACGGAAGGCCAGCAGCTGCAGACAGGTGCAAAGGACGGGGGCAGGTGCTGGTCCTGGTTTTGCTACCAAGCTGTGATGTGGCTTGAAAATATTCTCTCAAAACTCTTCACGGCTCTAGACCTTTACCACCATGGGCCAGGCCTGGGTGGCTGCAGTGCACCACCGGCTGATCTTTTTCCCTCTTCTTGCGTCCTTCCCCTCTTTTCCACAGGAAAGCCCGAGTGACCTTTTTAAAATGCAATTCTGATCATATCAATGCTGCAGTTGCCCACCATTCTGCTATTGAAATTCTTCAGTGTTTAAATCGTTTGCTTTTAGATAAAGACACAAATTCCTTACCTTAGTTGACAAGGCCCTGCATGATCTGGCCTCTGCCTGCTTCTAGGCTCCCCACTCACTCCACACATTTCAGTTCTTTCAGGCTTTTATTCCTTATAGAAGCCACGTTCCCTGCTGCCTCAGGGCCTTTGCGCATGCTACTCCCTACATCCAGAATGTTCTTCCTCTCACTGTTGCTCTGTGCAACCTTCTCCATTTGAGGCAAATTGTATCTTCTAAGGAAGCATCTCCTGATCTCTTAGTTTGTCAGCTTTTTGTAACATTCTCAATTTAAAGGCCGCAAGGTTAATTTTGACTCACAGTTTCCATAGTTGGAAAGCTTCAGAGTAGAAGCATGATGACAGAAAGGGAATGAGGGAGGAAATCTGCTCGCCTCATGGCAACCAGGAAGCAGAGAAAAAACAAAAAAGCCTGAGAAGAGAAATTTTCTTCAAAGGCCTACCCCAGTGACCTACTTCCTCCAACAAAGCCCAGCTTCTAACAGCCCATTCAACAATGAGCTCATTAATAGATTAATGAGGTCAGTGCTTTTATTGCCCAATCACCTTTCTAGGCCCCTCTGGGCACTGCTACGCTGGGGATTGTACCTTCAACACAGGAGTCTTTGGGAGACATTTCCTATGTAAACATCACAGCCTCCTTACTTCTTCAGTCTTTCCCTGTGCTCTCTGTTGGCCCTGAGCCTCTCTTTTACAGCACTCATCACAGTTGCTCTTTTACATGAACTGATATGATGATTGGTGGTGATGATCCTACCCCTACATCCTAGCCGCCCCCGTCCCGTGAGGGGAGGAAGGGTGTCTCCCTCCCGCCTCCCCCTCCAGGCTTGGGGCCTAACAGAGTACAAGCCTACATGTGTTAAAACACATGAGTTTGTCTAAGTTTTGTCTTCCCACCTGAGTGCTTGCCAGGTGGCATGCACCATGGGCGGTAGCCACAGGAACACAGCAGAGGACAGGACACACAGGTGTGGCCCTCTTATCGTGGAGTTCACAGTCCAGTAGGGAAGACAGACAAGGAATATATAATGACGAGAGTACTGAATGCTGCAAATGGTATACACAGAGCAGCAAGTCTGGAAGGTGTACAAGGGGAGAGAGGAGCCACCAGAGGAAGAAGATGGGAGAAGGCAGAGAGCACTGCAGACGAAGGATCAGCGTGCATGAGGACGCTTCTGAGGCAGACGAGTGTGGATTGTTTGAGCACGAAGACTGGGGTTCCCGCGGTGTAAAGAGAGTGGGAGGAGGTGGTAGCATTGGTTTCACTGGGCAGAAGTGAAGGGGGGTGTGTTAGTTTTTCAACTGGCTGGACCTTGACTACCATACTCTTCCCTTCTATTTTTAGGTCTGTGCTGAGGCCCAGCGTGGAGATTCCCGGGCTGTCCCACTGCCAGGCACACTGTCCTTCACCCCTGAGTCATCTTGGGTTCCTGTCTTGTCTTGAGTGATAGACATGTGAAGGTTGAGGGGTACATATTTAGGGAGATGAGGATGATATGCTGGGGTACAATCAATCTCAAAGCATAGCTTACTGACAAATCTAGGGGAGCCCTAAAAGATGCTGGGGGGCCTGACCTGGGCTTGGGGTGGGTACACAGCCTGCCTGGGAAATGAGCATGGCTTACCAGCTGCAGGCCCTTCAGTGGGTGGAGGGAACAGAGGCCCCTGGGCATGGGGCAGGGAGGGCTCCTTTTCCTCCTCACATCTGGTGGTGTCTTCCTCTTCTTCCAAGGTCCTGGAACTGGTTCCCAGAAGGCTAGCCTCACTTTTGGATTTTGCCCACAGGTAGCCAGAAGTACATATGTAGAATGAGGTTCCTGAATAGAAATAATAGGCTTTAGATTCCTTGTCATTGCCAGGGCTCCAGCCACCACCCCTCCAACACATAAATACATGCACGCCTTGCTTCTACTGAGATGTCCCATGACCAGGGCCCCCAGCTCCCCTGCTTCTCAGAAGTGTTTGTCCAGGTGTGGTCTTCAGACCCACTGCACCAGACTCCCAGGGATGACTGTGAAGTACAAGCCCCTGGGGACTGTGACACAAGCGCATCACACTTGCTGTGCTCCGAAGGATGCCTAATGCTGCCCGAATAACTACCAGAGCGTCCCCGCCCCAGAAATATCTCCTGCAAGCCAGCCAGTGGATGGTGACCTTAGAGATTCAACCCAGTTCCTGGAAGCCTCCCGCTCACCTCCAGACCTCTGCCAAGAGGAATGGCCAACCCTGACACAGCAGACTTCCTTCCAAATCCCCGCCTTTGACACATCCCATAAACACTTGCCGGGAATCTACCGAGTGCTTGGTGCTGGAGTCCTGAGAGGAGCAGGGTAGCCGTGACTGCTCAGCGAGTCTTATAATTTGAGAGTCAAGACAAATGTAATAAAAGCAAAAAATAAACAAGAAAATAATGGTAAGTGGTATGAAGACAAACGCAGTCATTCTATAGAAAATATGCAGCAGACCTGCTTAATTTGGAGGTTCAGGAAAGGAGGCCACCTTGGTGTCTGTGGAACGTTCTAGAGAGAAAGAATAAAAACCCTTCCTCCAGTGTTTTTGTTAGCTGTGGTTCAGCTCATGTCTGTTTCTGTTTCAGCTCCCTCTTTGTCTATTTCTCCTCTTCTCTGCAGCTTCCTTTCCCCAGCCACTGCCTTCTCCTTCTTCCCACCCTTCCTCCCTCTTTTCTGATCCCTCCAGAGGAACTGTAGAAACCAGATCCTCCCGTGTCTCAGGCGCGCCAGCAGTAATTGAGCTGGGGGCTCACTCAGCAGCGGGATGTGAGAGGAGAGGAGCCGTGAGGTCAGAGGGGAACTGGAAGGAGGGGTCAGGGATGGGTCTGGGGAGTTCGAGGGCACTGGAGGGGCTGGAGGTGGCTGCTGAGCCAGGTAATCTAATCAGAGGGTGAGTCATAAAGATCACTCACTCCCATGCACAGCACCGGCCTAGGAAATCACATTAATTTGAAGAGGGTGTAAAATCCATGGAGAATTCCCTGCTCTCCACCACACACATGAAGATAAACTGTCTTCAGCTTCCAATATGATCTTACAACAGCTTGTCAGTGACAAAACAGCCTCAAATCCTCCCATTTATCAAATGGCCAATCCTGTTAGCAGCTTAAAAGAGACATAATTACCTGCGGCCTTTTGTGTGATTCTTTATACTAACGCTGCTTCCTTCCTGGCAGCGTTCCAGAACATGAGCTCAGAATTCATTCCTGGAGACTAGGGGGAGATCTTAGAGATGTTCAAGTTGGGGGTAGGAGTGAAGGGTTGAGGGGGACGGCGTGTGGGTAGCTCCGTGGACATGGACAGGGCGTTGGCTGAGGAAAGCTGGGAGTGGCCTTGTGTAGAGCAGGAAAGGCGCAAGGAGTCCACTCACAGGGGCTGACACCTGGGACGGACCAGAGGTCCTAGCAGCACTGTGGAGGGCCAGGTTCCAGCTGTCCACACAGAGCGGGAAGGGGAAGCTTTGTCTTGTGGTACATCGGTGCTGCCCCAGGGTCAGAGGATAGACACGGGCTGGCCTTTTGATGGACAATAGCTTGCCACTCTCAAACACAGTTAGGGTTCTCTTGACTACAGAATGGCCGACACATTTTGAATTTTTGTAACTCTGACTCTGGCAGGCTGTAACCTGGAAAAATAATAGCGCTTCTAGCTAACATTTACTTAGTGCTCACTATTGGGCCAAACCCAGGATTGTAATAATTAAGATTGCGTGTCATGTCATTTTCATTAATATGATCTTCATGTGAGCCTATTTTGTTTTTCCTGTTCATAGATAAAAACCAGAAGGTGACTCAGGCTAAGTCATGTGTCCAAGGTCACCCAGAGCTGATTCAAATTTGTAGGCCATGTCCTGGTCTGCCTTTGAGCTAGGTTCTGGCCATGATGAGAGATTAGTTCTGTGCATTTGAGCTGATTCCCTCTCCTTTTTTTTTTTTGCCTTTTTGCTTTTTTGCCTTTTTGAGACAGGGTCTTGCTTTGCAGTTCATGTTGACCTGGAGCTCACTGTGTAGCCGAGGTTGGTCTCAAACTTGCCGCAATCCTCCTGCCTCAGCCTCCCAAGTGCTGGGATTATAGACATGTGCCACAGTGCCCAGCTTCTTGAGCTCTCTTTCTTCCTCCACACTTCTTGCTCTTTCTCAGGGTGCCCAGTTGAGGCAGCTCTCTTGTTTCATTGCTTTGAGGGAGGGCAGGGAAGTCACATGGCATCATCTTTCTCTCCATGAAGAATACAACTCCCTGGAAACCAACTTGTTTCTGGCATGAGCTGCCCCACAAATGCACGTCTGTGTTTCCTCAGCCCCCTCCCTCCCTCTGCTGGTGCCGGTCTCTGCTGCTGCAGCTCGCCCCGCACCTCCACGGGGCCATTCCCCTCTCCTCGAGCTCCCCACTGCCAAGCCCATGCTTGCCACCTGCCTTCCTTACCCAGTTCCGTTTTCTAGGAACCCAAGAGAATCCTCTCCTGGGAGGAACCTATCAGAGTCCATTTGGAAAGCAAGTAAAGGAGAAGACAGTGAGACAGACAACAGGAGACAGACGAGAGAGACTGAAAGTGAATTTTGAAGTGCTGTTGAGTTCATGATTGTGATCAAATCTTGTTGAGAGACAAGATACTGGAGATAGCGCACAGAATTTTTAGGGCTAATTTCACCTGGTTCCCTCTGTCTACCAGCCCTCTTCCCTTATCCCTCTTCTTTCCCGGGTGGCCTCCCAGATTAGAATCCTTCCCCTATCCCACCCAACCTCAGGGCATTCATCACTTGGGTTAGTGATTTATCAAAGGCTGCCACAGTCTTTGTTTGGTAAAAATCCATCTGTGAAGAATGGGACCAACCCAAAGGCCCCTGTTGTCTCCAGCCCCTACTATCTATCTGTCGCAAAGGAGCTCCATGGTTTCAGCAGCAGCACTGTCCTCCAAGCCCCACTGGGCTTGGGTAGGTCTCTGGATCCTAACCTGTTCTGAGGGAGAAGAGGAAGGAAGGGCAGAGCTGAGAAAGACAGAAAGAGCCAACGAACAGTAAGTTAGTGCCGCTTCTTAGATGTTTATTTTGTTGTTTTTAAGTGAGAAAGTCCCAGCTCTATTAAATGCAATCAATACTTGGCCCAAGAGAAACTTCCCTTCTCTGAGACATTTGAAATCTGGTCAAATCATTTTGCCCCAATACAAAGTAATTTATCAAATTCAAAACCTTTCTAATCAGTGGAGGCTGTGGACTCCTCATTCTTCCCTGCCATCTCCTGCTGCAAGACACACACATGCACACGCATACACACACACACACACACACACAATAGAGAGAGAGAGAGAGAGAGAGAGAGAGAGAGAGAGAGAGAGAGCTGTGCACAAACTCTTCTCCCTGCAAACCTCTCTCCACTCCTCCCATCTTCCAGGGACTGGAATGTCTTCCCTCCAATTCGGCCTCCAGGCCAGGTGCCCCCCCTCCCCCGCCCAGCCTGTGGGCTCCCACCCCTGCAGGTCTGCTGCACTCAGTGCTGGGGAGCTGCAGGGGGCCAGAGTCCTGGCCCCAGCATTGCTGAGCACACTCCACTTCACCTGGGGGCTACCAGCTGGAGTGGGGAGAGACTCCTTTGTAGACAGAGCCCAGAACTGGGGCCAAGAGACTAGAAGGAGTCTCTGGGTCACCAGCTTTATCCCTTTGGGTCTTTGCTTAAATATTCAAGGGGCAAAAGAGACAAGCAGTCTGGAGCGGATTTTGCTGGCCGAACCTGGGGATGATGTCACAACCCTCTCCTGCCTCTGAAGCTGCTATTTTTGCCCTTGAGGACAGGCTGTGTCTAAGGGAGATTGCGACAGCAGCAAAATCACCTTGCAACGCACCCTCCTTCTCCCAGGAGAAGTGTCTTGAGCCTTTGCTGCTGTATTAGATTGGATTCTCGGCAGGTCTTTTGTGGCTGCCATCTGTGGTGGCCAGATAGGCCACTGACCTTTTAAGAGAGGCCACCCACTAAATGGCTGATTCAAACGCTCTCCTCACAATGAACTCTGCATATTTGGACTCAGGGAGCCGAAGCCTGGTGCACAAGAGAATCCCGGAGTGCAGACAGCGTGCAAACACTGACAAACCTCTGCCTGTAAAACAGTCCATCTGGAGGCCTCACGTTGCCCTTGGGCCTAACCTAAAATCTCCAGTAGACCTTTTAAGCCTAGTGTTTGGAAGGCACCTTGTGAACACTAATGCAGTTACTGAATGGGTAAAAATCCCCACGTAGCTCTGCCCGCTACTTTGTGCCTTCTGTCCTAACCCTATCATAGCTCCCCTAGAACTAGGACCAAGGACTTTGAATAGCTGTAGAGCCTTCCTAAATCCCAGCCCAAGGTTCTGCACAAAGCAATACCAAACTATACGGTGAACACAGTGCCCTATGGTTTATGAGGTATTTTAATATTCACTGTATAATTTAATTCTACAATAATTTTGGGGGATAAGTACAATCCTATTTTATACCAAGAGAACCCAAGGTTCACACAGGTGAAGTCACTTGTCCCAAATCACACAGAGAGTAAACAGTAAACCTAAGATTCCCATCTAGCCTCTCTGAATCCAGATCCCAAGTCTTTCCACTTCATTTATTTATTAGATAAATAATAGTATGCATCTTATTTATGCAAATGTTAAGCTTTCTTCATGGCAACTTAAAGCTAGGTGACACGCGGCTGGCAGTTTAGCTCAATGGTAGAGTCCTTGCTAGCACGTGCAAGGCCCTGGGTTCAAACCTTAGGATTACATACATGCATACAACTAGGTGATATTATACCTTATCTACAGAAGTGACCTGTCCAAGATAGCACAGTAGATAAGATATGGAAGTAGATTAAACCCAGATCTTTTTTATTTCAAATTCACAGTCTTTCCCATTAAATCACACAAAAATTCTTGCTGGAGCATTGAGACAGAGGCTGGCATAAGCCAAACACTATCCCATTTAATCTTCACAAAATTTGACATGGATTTTACTATCACTCCCTTCTTAAAGATGAAGAAACTTTGGAAAGTCCAGTGTCTGGTGGGTGTGCTAGCATTTTCAGGCTGTATCTCTGACTCTGGAACCTGATGTCTAGGCAAACTGACCATAGGGACAGACAGGCATTATACTTTCATGTATCCCTAGCCCACACTATGCTCACAAGTCCTCTGTGTCTAGTAACACCTGTCCCCACTTCACATGAGGGGCTTTGGCAGGCCCCTTGCATGCGCATATAATCCCACGTGATCCTCACATGACACTATGACACAGGTGTACTCTTCCTTACTTGAGAGATGTGGAAGCCAAAGCTCAAAAGAAATTCAGTCATTTGTCCATGAATACACAGTATATCAAAGAT